AAAGCGCTTTGACTGGTCGGAAGACTAGAAAGGCGCTATACAAGTACAGGTCCATTTACCATTTACCAAAAAAGGGCAGTTTGCAGCAAAGGATGCTTTCTGAGAGATCTGATGTATTGTACCACTCAGCTTTCAAGTCCATCACCAGTGCTGCCAGTGCAACACCCTCTGTGACTGTGTGCATTAGCTAACTGGCAATCTTGCTCGGAAAATTCATTGGTTCAATTTATTTACAAAACCCCTCTTGGACTGACAACATCTCAGCCCCAGATCATATCTGTCAAATATGTAAGAAATAAAACCAACTTCCCATAACATAACAAGTCTCTCCGTCACACTCTGTCTCAGAGTTTCAAAGCTGCTTTCACTCCAGTTCACTGCTCGAAATTTGAAGAAAATCGTCTTCCGTTCTGTGCTTTCAAAAGTTATATTATATATTGTAAACTGATTGGCAGATAAGCAAAAGGTTCTCAGATGCATAAATACAAAAGCTTCCTCATCAGTGACGCATGTAGTGTTGCTTTTAGTGATGTCCTTGTCGATGGTGGTACAGTTTTAATGTTGTTAGTCTCCAAGCCAAGGTTATGCCTGCACTACTGTTAAACATAAAAAAAAATGTAATGCTTTCTGTTACCTTCTGTTTGTCATATCTCCCTTCTTCACTGTGTGTCATTCTTCCAAACCTGGAATTAAGAGGGCTTTTGCCTCTTGCCATGCATGTTACAAAACCTATTATTACTCACCTGCTGTGTTAAATATACAGAATGTTAGTGTCCAATCACTGTACCACCTTGAAGCTGACCTGATTGATGTTTGCAAGTAGAACGCTCATATCAACCATCTTTAATATGAAATAAATCCAGCATGAATGGCTCCCCCCTTACAGTTTTGGTCTGCAAGTTCCAATTTACAGGCCAGACACAGTAAAATGCTACTTGCCAGTAATGTTAAGAAAGGCCGGTTCACTCTCTAACTCAGACCTCTGTTATTTATGATGACTTTCAATGAGTTGCAGTGTGAATATTCAATGTCTTTCAATGTGGTAGCCACTGCCTTGAATGAATAACTCAATAAGTTAAAAGAATCAATAGATTAAGTCAAAACTACTTTTGGTGACCCGAGATAAATACTTTTATTATATATTATATGTATATTATATAATAAGCTATATTATACTATTGTCATAGTTTTATTATATCCTGAAAGTAGTACACGAGACAGATCGTCTGTAAAATAATCTGGTTCCTCTGGTTCCTCCTAGTGCTGCTAATGGACGTTTCAAGAATCTACCGGGCCTGAAGGAAAACAACCAGTCAGAGCTGGGAGAGATAGAAAGACACTTTGGGTTGGTGGCTTGAAGACTGTTGATTGTTGAGTCTCATTCCCATGTCATCAAATACAGACGAATCAATTATCATCTGTGATTGGTTATTTTTTTTCAGGCAAGATGCTGCAAATACCGTAAGATGTATTAGGAGGAGCCAAAGGAACCTAAAGTTTTCACAGATAAAGTGAAAAGTTTCAGCAAAAATTACAAAGTTATTTTTATAAACCTACAGCTCTATCTCACAGTGTGCTTTAGAAATATTATAATAATAATAGTTTAAAGGTCCAGTGTGTAACATTTAGGAGGATCTATCGGCTAAAATGAAATATTCATAGGTATGTTGTCATTAGTGTATAATCTGCTGAAAATAACAACTGTGTTTTGGTTATCTTAAAATTAGCCGTTTTTATCTACAGAGGGACAGCAGAGCACATCGGTTGGTTGCAATCTGCAATGTCACTGCTGGACTCCACTAAATCCTACACACTGGTCCTTTAACACAAGGAGACCAAACAAGCAGTTTGTCTGCAGTCACCATGTCAAACATTGCAGACGTGTATTTCATATTACATTTATCAATATTTCTATAATGTCAATGGTTCACATGACAAAAAATCTCTGTTAAACCCACTGTAAGCTAGCCGCCTACCACCAAATGGCAGAAGAAGTTATTGACTAGCTGATGAACATATCGAGCATTTAGCAGCTAAAGAGCCAGGTATTTCCTTGAGTTGGTGGAAACCAAAACAATGGATGGTTTATTTAGTCTAAAAGGAGGAAACATCCTTAATCAGGTTTGTAACTCATTTTAACCAAAGCTAGTAATCAAAAAACTTGAGAAAGTGAGATTTTTTTTTTGAGAAAAAATGAGAAAGAAAAAAAAAATTGTGTCAGATGAAATATGCATTCACACAGATTAATAATCACAAGGTAGCTTATGTTCCTCCTGCCTATTTCTAATTTTACACATTCAATCGTGGGCATATTGCTGGGAATCGATCATGCTGTGTGAACATGCTTCCTTGGCTAAAGGCTTATTTCACTATCACTACTCGTCTATAGCTCTTTTTAATAAACAGATGCTTCCTGTGGGATTTAAATACTGTTCAATGACAGTGAGAGACCTGCCATCCTCTTAAGGCCATTAAGTGCAAAGTGTTACTTTCAAAGAATCAATACCTCTTCAAAATGCCCATCTAGATGATGAGAAGCGCCTTGTGTTATAATAACCATCTCCTGAATCTCTTGGTTATTAATCTCCTTTCAGCCTTACTTTGCAGCACATTCTGCTCTCCGCTGTTCTTAGCTGGCTGATCTCACAAGGTTTTCAAAAACTACAACAGGCCTCCAGACACGTCAGGGCCTCAGTAAACACTGGGAAGGATCCTCTCAATGGGCCTGCTGAGCATGACTTATACTTTAAGCTTTCACTAATCTGCAGACTTAATTAAGTCTCATCAGGACATCAGAGCTCGCTAGTGCCTTGCACCGTGTGAGAGGATCACAGTGCAGACAGATGACAGAGATAAGTGCTCTCATTAGCCACCAAGACGGTATCTTCAAAAAGCAGCCCACTCCCTGCTAATGGAAACACTCCGATCTGTCATTAGAATGTGAAGTGGTGCAGTATGGGAGATGTCAGGAGGTCAAGAGGTAACCGAGGTAGGATTTATGTCTGCCAATAAGATGATACCCGCAAGGTCATAGATTACTTTATTAATCATCATCAATCAATCAATCAAGTTTATTTGTCATATGCAATCATATAAGGTACAATCACAGTGGAACAGTCGTAACTATGTGTATTATTGTGAAATGAAACTGTTGCAAATAAAGTATTACTACTATGAGCATGTGAAAATTGATGTATAGAAGATCAGTCTTAGATAGCTATTATTTACATACAGAAGGTGTTTATGGATATACCTTTGACAAACGTATCTGTATGCTAAATATTAAGCTACAGCCAGCAGCCGGCTAGTTTAGCTTAGCATACAGACAGGAAATGAGGTGGAACCAAAATCCGCGTATGCAGGCAACCAACAGAGACTAAAGGAAGTTACTTATTAATTAGTGAACGACGAGAGGTGCTTGTAAATCTGGCAGATTTTGTTACCTTTGGAGTCTGATTAGCTTAACCTTAACCTGAACCCTAACCCTTTCACCTAACCTTAACCCTTCACCCTGGTTCCAGTCTTTATGCTAAGCTAAGCTAACCGACTGCTGGCTATAGCTCCATATTCAGCGCACAGATATGAGAGTGTGGTACCAATCTTGTTATCCAACTCTCAGCAAGAAAGATGCTGAACTCTTACTTTATTAAATATGCTTGTGTGTGTTAGATTAAAAAATTGAGCAATTTCCATTTTAGTTGCAAAACAAACCCATAACATTAATATTTTAGGGCAGCTCAAATGATTCCAACATCCCAATACATTTAAATCACTGCTTTACATCTCGCAGTATGAATAGCCTGACAACAAAGAAATCCAATTACTTGTCCTTAGCCAATTTGTAAAACAAAGCTCCTGACCGCTGCAAGTACTTGACACAGCCTTTACATTGGGATATTAAACCACTCCAGATGTCTCCACTTGTTAAGATGTTATTTTCCAGTGCAGTCATCTTCACACATCCCTTGTGTCAAATCCCTATTTAATAAGCACTTTCCCGAACAAAACAAGTCAGCTTTTATTAATACTTCTCATAAGTCAAAGAGGCCTCTTTTCACCAGGTTATTAAGATGACATTGAATTTAGATAACCAACCAAGAGCTTTGCAGCGAGGCAGGCACGGCGCACTGTGTCCCTGGTGTTTTTGCTCAGCCGGCTTAGTAATAGGGTTACAAGGTTGTATTACTAGTCGTAATCTAGATGCAATGTAACATCTTACAGAGGCTCTTGAAGCAGACATAGCTCTGTTCATACAGTGCACATGCTATATATCATACTTATCAGACTGCGGTTCAGAGATGGCATATTAAAAGCTCCATGGGGAATCTGGTTTGCTTGGATGGTTCATGTCAGTCAATGTGGGCTTAGCAGACGTCCCTCAGTCCCTGAAAAAGGCTGTTAAGATTTGTTCAGGTCCCGCGTGGGAGCTCTAAACACGTCTCTTTAAGTTCAGTGACCTGGATTTCTAAACAGTAATGTACTCTTTGATATAAACAGAAACGCCTTTGTTTTGCCACATAATGTTCTCTTAAATGTTTTTTAATTGGAGGCTCTCCTCCGCTGCAAGCTTCATACTGCCAGGACAGTCAGTTGCTCAGTGACTCTGGAATTGTGATGAGGAATATAAACCTTGTGTTTTTATGGCACATAATGCACTGTGTTTATGATACACTGTCATATATCTGAGAGGCTCACACACTGTTGCCTGGAGCATTTTAATACATTTACTGTTATGTTACAAAAGCAAAGGGGACATGGCTATGACCACATAAGCATTTAAACAAACACAATAGCATGCGTACATAAAGCATGTTGTGACTCATGTATTTTGATGAACAATGTTCCTTGTGTTGGCAAATATGAATAGCCGTGTCATGGGGATATGTGAGTGAGCACAGCTGTGTGTGTGCTAATTTCACTGAGTCAGTCCGTGTGTCAGAGTTTGGTGAGTAAGTTCAGGCGGCTGAGGGTGTGGCAGGCGTGGGGGAGGAGCAGGAGCAATACGCCAGCGCTGCACACGTTTTTTTCCCAAGTGCTTGTGGACGAAGGAAGGCAGCAGAGCTCGGAGCTGCCGTACAGCTGGGCGTGACAACAGGAAGTACAGTGGCGGGTTCCAGCATGGAGCCAGACACACCAACAAAATGGCTGTCAGGGATGCCACCTCCCACATCAAAGACACCCTTGTTTTTTCCTCCCTTGGCCCAGGTGAGGACAAATATGATGGAGACAAAGTTGAAGAAAGCTTACGCCCAAATCTACTAATGGGAGATGCTTCTGAGCTAACATAAGGGGACATGACATTGACAAACTCAAGTGCATAATATGGCAACCAGCTAATTGCAAAAACCAGTGTTGAACCAATCAGCAGAGCGGTAGCTTTCTTGTTGCGCCTGTCGGCGGCCAGAGTACCCCTGCAGCCATGGAGGTGAGATATGATGAGGCCACAGTTGACAGCAATACAGAAGAGAGGGGCAACATAATAAACCAGGAAGGCAGGAACTAGGAATAACAGCCACTCGTTGCGGCTCACTGCCCATGTGCAACCCCCGTCAAAGTTGATGTAGGTGACCTTGGGTAATGCCATGGCTACTGAGACCAGCCAAATGGCTACAACAGTGCATAACCTGTGAAAGAGGAAGACAGATAGGTTTATTTGTTGTGCAGGAGGATCACATCTGTGCTAGAAGAAATAGGTCACTTATATTCTGCAAGAATACATGGACCAGGATCTGATGGGAAGAAAAGTGACAGTTTGATTTGATGGTATTAATATTATTTACTTTGCTTAAGGCTCAAGTCTACATTAGGCGCTACTACATTATACGCTACCAACCTAACACACCAGAATCTCCAGCAAAACTGTTTGTGGTGGAGTTGCATTGTAGGTAATGTAGGCTCAGGTTTTTGACAAGAAAAAAAAATGCATGGATTAAAAATAAAATACATATTGTTGAACATCATGAGTATGAGGAGTGTAATGCCAAATCACTGGGATACTCTTTTAAAGTATAAAGCTTTCAGTCTCAAGACCATTTGTTCCTACTGGAGACACAGCTGGCATCAGTATTTGACGACCTGGGTATGAGAGGTTGTAAAGTGTGTGGATAGACTATTTAGAAACAAATACACAAAGGGCCTATCTGGAGCCAGGTTTGGTTTGTCCTGCTTCTGGGCCTACTGGAAACATGGCAGTTCAAGATGGCATCTGTGGAGAAAAACTTCTCATTCTAAAGTAAAAAAAACATAATGATTCCTATATGAGGTGCTTATACACTAATGGAAACATACTTATGAATATTATATTCCACTTCTAACAATAGATCTTCCTAAATGTTACACACTGGACTTTTAAAAATTAACAAAAGACAAATAATATATCATTATTTTTTAAGAACAATGTTTTTTTCTGAGTACCAGCATCTTTTTTCAATAGTTCCCAATGAGGAGAAAGCATATGCAATCATAGAAAGGGCAGGATTTATCACCCTAGTAACCAAGACAATAGAGGAGAGGCTTGTGGGCAATCTATCCAGAGATTTATATCAGACAGAAACATCATAACAGAAAGAGAAAAGCCCATTTGTGGGAGCAGATCGGCCTGACACTGAATGTTGTTGTTTTATCACTCTACGCATTGTGAGCTTGTTGTTAGCTGACTTTGTAGTTAACCCTCGCAAAGTAATACTCACACTTGTGTCAGGCTAGCAGGCGGTCTCATCCGGGGAGCAACGATGCGATACCTTAGCACCGAATACGCCGCCAGGCTGAAGATCTCCACTCCCACTGTCACTGAAGTCGTGAACCCCAGGAGGACGCAGGTCCCACCACCAAGCTGCCAGTTCTGGAAACTGGCACTCAGAAGGACACAGGGCAGGGTGAGCAGGGCGCCCAGGTCTGCCAGGCTGAGGTTGAGGAGCAGGACGGAGCTGGGCTTGGAGCGACTGCGAGGGTTCCTCACCAGCACCAGCCACAGCAGGAGGTGACCTCCAACTCCCACCACAAGAGAGACCAGGCTGACCATGGGCAGCACCACGGAGAAGGAGATGGTGGTGTTGGTGGAGACAACGTTAAAAAGGAGGTTGACTATGGCAGGCATGGTACAGGCGAGGATCTGTCAGGTATGATGGCACAAAATTGTAAAAAAAAGAAAAGAAAAAAGAAAGAGAAGATGGTACATAAGGACTTCAGAAAAACAAATTGGAGCAATTCTACAAAATAGGATTGTAGATGAAGAGGGAAAGACCAGATGAAGGGAATGGATACGCTGAAGGTGATCTCGGGGTCAAGAGGAGAAAGTGCAAGATACAATAAGAGAAAATACAAATGGGATGAGACAGGAGCAGAGCAGAGATGATGAGAAAGGGAAGGAGTAATAAAGAAAAGGATATTCAGAGGTGAGGGGAATTACCAACCACTGTGAGAGAAAGGTAGACAAAATCAGGAATTTAGGGTGACACGCAGGGTGATTACAGTGATGTAAACTAATTTTAATAATCAAGCATCTATGTATTATTCATGTTTATAATAGTTGCCGGCGCTCCGTGGGTCCCAAATCACCTGCAGTTCAGAGCTTACCAGGCTCCTCCTGTGACTGACAAGCCTGATGATTCAGACGAAACGCTCTAGCCCCCCTCGTCTCTCTTGGGAGATTTAGGCAACACTTGATGACATCAGCAAGTCGACTGCATCATGACACAAAGAAGACAACTCACCTCAGCGGGCACATGGCACAGATGCATCACACAGACAGAAGAAGGGAGCCTGTTTGTTTCCAGAGGGATAAACAATACACACAGACTAGCAGTGCAGAGGGAAAAGTGCAGTCTTTTGGTAAAGAGCAGGCGGTTGACCAGAGCGAAGCCCTGCAAATAAACTAACCACTTATCCCCATAAGTAAACAAGACATTTTTATTTGCTGTTTAAGAGATGACTCGGCTACCTACGCACTGACATTTGGGAAGGTTCCCTGAATAATTGATTTTACATCAATGTCTGAGCAGAAAGTCCAACATTTGCCTTGATCGTTGAACTCCAAATGCACAAACAGGAAGATAGCGCTGGATTTCAGCAGTGGTGCGGGTGGCTTCGTGGATCGATTCAGCTGCATTCCCCCCGGAACATCCTCAACAAAACAAACCACAACACTTTGAAGATGGATTAAACTGAAGGCTTTTTAAACACCCTGGGAGTTAGACGTAGGCATTTAAAATGTCTAGACGCACATCCAGTTTTTACTTTGACACGTTTTGTTCAACACTTACAAATGTGCTATATAGTAAATGCACAGGCATTTGAGGTTGATCTTCACATTTCTAAAAACTTTTACCTGTTTCCTGTGGCTGCTTCACAGTAATAGCCGCACTGTGTTTTGCCAGCTAAACACTTTATATATGAAGCAGTAGGAGGCCGATATCAATGAGATTACATTGCACTGGATTACATGCATACATTGTTTTCCTGTAAATCCGTCAGGTTTAGGTACATCATCTAAATCCAGCAGGGATTTGCCAGGGAATGACAGACTTCGCCACTGCCATTAAAAACTATTACATGGAGACATAATTACAGAACACCTTCAGTAGTTATTACAGATGAATACATAAATAATAAATATATTAATGTGTAAGCAGTACTTTAATGTTGCAGTTGGTCGAGGTGGAATTTTTATTTACTACTTTATTACTGTTCGGTAGTTTAATCAATAATTAGGGCTGCACGATATGTAAAAAAAATATCGTATTGCAATTATTTTGACAGATATTGCATTTGCATGAATCACAATTAGTGAATCACAATTAGTTGTACCAAACAACTCTGGAGATCTGGAGATCTGGAGATCTGGAGAACAAGATTTGCTAGGGCATCTCTGCAGCACTACACTACTTTATTATAATGCTGTTTGTCATATCATGTTTAAACTTATCACATGTTGTGTGAACACTTCATCTGAAGTAAAAAAGTGCAATATTTCCCTGTAGTGTAAACGTAGAAGAAGTAAAATACAAGTACCTCGAAACTGTGATTTAGTACTGTAGTTGAGTAGATGTACTACTATTTTCTACTTCTGACAATAGTAATTGTTATGAAAACCATTATAAAAACCATTAGTATTTACTTTTTGCACCACAGATACGCTCTTTAACCATTCACTGTGTTAATTGTGACATTATCAAGAGTGTGGTGGTGGGATGCATCATTACTCCCACTTTTGTCCAAACCTGATGAACTGTGTCCGTGATACTGCGTGTGAGGGACAGATGGACGAACAAATGAACAAACGTTTGTTCATTCCTTCATCCATCTGTCCCTTTCATGCAGTATCTCACTCAAGCTTAACATCCCTGTCCAAATTTAATCTTTGGGGGTGGGTGATACTGTGCGCTTTACACGCAAAGCAAAAAGGTCATCGAGGCAGCTTGGTTGGTGTTTTGAACAGAGTAATCACTAACTAATAACAGTCGTTGAATACAGGCTGTATATGAGCGTGATTGGAGGGGAAATAATTTATTTGAGGGGAAATAACAAATTAGCAATCTGCTTCCAGCCTTACTATTTTGACTTCACAAATTTAATAACACAGAGGCTGACAACAGAGCTTCGTAGTATTTATATTTTTCTTGTCACTCTGGTTTAATTAGTTCAGCAGCAGCTGAATAAGGAGTAAAGAGCAGTAGTGGAAAAGGGCTAAAAGGGAAAGATGTAACGTGACAGATGAGGAGAGACAGCCAAGAACACAGAAGTGACGGGCTACAGAGTACAGAGACATGAAATGAGCAACACAAGGCTAAACTAATTGTGTTTCATTTTAGACACACTGACCTCCAGCTGAACTGATTCACTGGTTTAGAAGTTGTGACTGGCTGCGGGCTATTTTCAGTCCAACCACTTTCGCTCCTTGGCCACAGTATGGATTTACATACATCTGTAGCATGAAAATCAATTAATCCAGGCTGTGGTTTTCAGAGGAGAAACTCAGGTTGATTTACCACAAAATGTAATTTAGAGAGGCAGATGGGTGACAAATTAAAGAAGAATGATCACCAAAGTTTTTACAGTTCATCCTCAGGAGGACATTAATGTGTGTACCGAATGTCCTGGAAATTCACACGATGGTTGACATTTAACTCAAAATCACAAAATTGAATTTAGAAATACAGATGGATGACACATTAAAGGAAAAACTTGAATGAATGTGTGGTGAAACTAGGACAGCAGATGCTTCCATACAAGCAGGCCAGGCGCCAGGATGAGTGACTGAGGGGGCTGTTTTTTTCCTAAAATGATATAGAATAGATTTAACAATGCAATAGTTTCAGAAAAGGCTGAATAGCAACAACATAAGGCTACTGATTCAAAATGAAAGAAAACATTAATAATCAAAGCCCTCACATAAGAATGTATCACTGGCAGAGTGCTAAATATTTTTTTAATTTATGAACAGAATCAGCAGGAGAAGGCAGGTAACAGCTGACCCTTCACTTCCCTGTCGTTTGCCTTCTGTCAGTAGATTGCTGCAATGGGAGAATCACAAAGCGTTCAGGTAAAGCAAGCAGGTGAAGAAACCAATGATGTGTCCTGTCTGTCTATTGATCTCCTCCACTTTGCTTCAGTACTATGGACTGCACAGCCTGATAGTAACAAGTACAGAAGCCAATCATTTTGTTGATTTTGCTAAAAAAAAAAGCTTAAAAAGCAGGGGCAAAAAATACAACTGAGCCCCCTTTAGCCACTTTAGTGCCACACCCGCATACAAGGCACTAGGGGTCATTTGATAGTTTGATGCATACACAAATAGTATCAATCATCTGGCCTTCACAGTCACCAGATCTAAAATCAATTGATCGCCTATGGGAGATTTTGGAGCTCTCCACCACCATCGGTCATCAAAAGAACAAATTAGTGGATATTTTTTGGAAGAATGGCATGTATTCCTTCAATGGACTTCCAGGGGTGAATCTATGACCAGGAGGAAGCCACCCTACAAAGATAATGTTGGTTGTCAGTTGTTCAGTCAGAGGGTCCAACTCCAGACTGAAATATCTCAACAACTATTGTTGAGCAATTGACTGGATTGCTGTGAAATTTGGTACAGATTGTTCCAAGAGGATGAATCCTAACGACTTTGGTGATCCTCTTTCTTTTCATCTGACGCTACCATGAGACCAAAATAGTCCAATTCTTTGGTTCCTGACCAAATACCCACAAAATGATATTCCCATCAGCCTCAGCTGTACTTAGTGCTAATTAGTAAACATTAGCATGTTAAAGGACCAGGGTGTAGTACAATGTACCAAGCATGTAGGGCTATAGAGGCTGCAAAACTGGCAAAAACGTGACAGGCTCTTTATAGAGTCAATGTTTGGTTTGTCCATTCTGGAGGTTCAACATGGCGGACATGGTGGTAGAAGAGGACCCACTTCTTCTGTAGATAAAATTGGCTAATTCTTGGGTAACAAAAACACAACAATTCTCGTTTTCAGGTTATTAGACACTAATGAAAACATACCTATAAATACTCCATTCTAGAGCCTCCTAAATGTTCCACACTGAACCTTTAACATGTTAAACTAAGATGGTGCACCTGCTTAATAAGCTTACTAATACTAAGTTTGTTTATCATTGTGAGCATCTTAACATGCTAATGGTAGCTCTGTATATCACTGCTAGGTACAAGATTTGATTCAAGTTCTTTATGACAGTCAATGTGATATTACCCTTTCCACAACAAATGTTTTATTCAGTTGTCCTTTTTCATTTGTCCTTAAATAAGCAGCTCAACTACACTGGCTAATGCAATCATTGTCAAAGGTATTTGTGGGAACAGCGACAAATCTTTAGTGGACGAGATGCAGGATATAATGATCAATAAAAATACAATAGAAAAGTTCCACACTGGAATCAGACCTCCCTCAGGCTTTATTGGCAAAATTTCAACCCAGCACTAAATCTTCCTCAGCGCAAATACCCACGTCAGGGAAATTATATAACTAGTACCCAGTCACATCATAATCACTTAATCACATTCATATGTGCCAGGACAGCCTTATCTAGATTTAAATCGCACATTTTAATATGAATAAGTGCACCAGTGTACAT